CATAGGAACTAGATAGTTGAATCAACTTACTAGCGGCCTTTCACAAGTGGCCCCTGGAAGCTTACAGTTAATGGCAGACTATCAGGTCTGGGCAGCGAAGTCATTTCTTGGGAATTATCGATTTACGGACGTCTGAAGTTTGTCAAAAGCGATAGCATCATTGATATCCGCTTTGAATTGCCTTGGATTATACGACCAGTGCCTTGACCAACGATTGCCGATATACACTGAGGTTCTTATCATGGCAGAGTCTTTTCATGATTGCCGAAAATATGTTCTAGTTACTTGCAGAATGCCAAAATTGTTCTTTTGAGATGCCTTCATTTATTTTGCCGTCTTGCTAACTGTACTTCGAATCGTGCGATCAAGGATGCAAACCACTCAATTCAATCCACTGAATAGCTCAGTGGCGTTGAGTTGACCTAGTCAACTGCGAGCCTTAGTGTCGTTGATCAACTGAGCTCGAAATTGAGTTGAGTGGATTTAAATTGACGTTGATTTATGTACAGGTTCACCATACCATTCATCCTCTTCATCCAGATCCATTAACTCTCCTTCAACTTCACCGTTGCACTGGTTAACAGGAACAAGTAATACATCCAGATCATCAATCACCCCAGCTCGTAACCACGACCGCAGCACTTGGCACATTCCAATCATATCAGCATCAAGTCGACTTCGCAGCGGCGTCACCATTCGCCCAGCTGCCGAAAATAGCCTCTCACACTCCGCTGATATAGCCTGAATCTCAACAAGTCCAGCGCCATTCGCGACAGGCGAGGATATCGCCGCCTACGTTCGTGCCAGTACGACAGGGGATCACGGACATCGCCGTCTCCGTCCTCCCATGACGACTGCCATAGTTCTAGCTCGTCTTCGTCATCTTCCCCGTCGAAGCGGTCGGCGTCGGCTAGCTCGTCCTTCACCGCGGCAGATCCAGATACGGAGCGCGTGCGCTCGCAGTACGCTTGGAATGGATTGTAGTACTTCCTCTGACGCTTCGCCGCAGAGTTGCCAGTCATAACACTAGGTTCTCCCCGTAGGCGTTTCCCACACCTCTCGGACCATTTGCTTGGCCTTTTTCACCCAATCCGGACGATCTTGCCACTCAGTCTCGAAATACCCCCATCGAAAGGCCGGGTGCAACGTCAAGGCCGTGCAGTAGATCGGCGTATCATCCAACAAACGGTAGTACTTGTTGAGCTTTTCCCAGCCCAAATTAACATTAACCCTAAAGTGCTCAGGGTCGGGTATTCCGCATGCGAGCTGCTTATAACCCTCGAGGGCTTCTAGAAGAAACTCGAACCCCTGAATGACCTCCCACACATTTCCGTACGAGCCAACCCATCCTCGTTTTCGCTTGCGCAGTTGGGCTAACCGGCCAGGCTTTCTATCCATACACGATACACCATATGGAAGGAATCCTGTATGGATTACCAAACTTTCGTCATATGGAAACGTATTCCATACATATGGAATACAGAAAATGATGTCATCTTTCAAAGCTGTGCTACCTAAGAGTCTGATGTTGAGTCACGCCGTCCCGTTGACACAGTATTTTCAACCTCCTCATTCTCTTCTTCGATCAAGTCTACGGGAACTCCCTTGGTAATACCGCTCTTAATCCAACTCTTCATGCACTCTCCCCTCTCAATGGTTCGACTTCCTAGCTGACATCGATCCCAGGATATCGTGCGTCTTGCGCCTGAAAAGACACGCTCTGGCTCGGCGGACATAGCTGGTATGGACAGGATATCGACGGCCATTATGGAGAGGCGGGGGTATCGTTGTTGCTGTTCTTCTCGGAGCCACCAATCAAGCGGTGAACAGTCGATAGCAACCGGTGTTTGCGCGACGAAGGATTGGTACTCGTCGAGCTGATTCAACGCCGGGCTGACAACATCCAACTCCCGAGCTAGCAAGTCATACTCAGGGTGAGGAATCAATCCACCCACGTCCACGAGTGCTTGTCGTGGATGGAATTGACAGCTTACTCAGCAGCGCTGTCGTGGGTTGAGTCCACGAAGCCTTCTCGTGGGTTGATGGCCACAATATTGAGGACCCATGTCGTCTCCACATCGATTTCCTAATTGAGTAATTTTGAAGCTATCGTGAAACCCCCTTACCCCGCCTCATCCTCGAAACTCCTCCGTTGAGCAATCCTCCCCAAGCCCCATTGATACAGCCCTGTCCAGCAGTATATTGTCAACATCCTTGATTATTCCCGCGCGTAGCCACGAGCGTAAGGTTTGGATAAGTCCAATTGTTCCTGCATCCATCCTGTTCCGCAGCGGAGTAACCATTAGCCCTGCTGCCGAGAACAGCCTCTCGCACTCTGCGCTCATGGCCGGCACTGTCATCACATCAAGTGCCATTCGAGACAGCTTAGGATACTCGAATCTCTTCAGGTGCCAATACTCCACCGGGTCAGCCACATCTCTGTCCAGCTCCGACATGCTAGCTTGCCAGCGTGCGTATTCATCTGCTCCGGCAGTGGGTGCATTGCTTTGCCGGTGTCTATTACGGTACCTATCAAATGAGGACAGCACAGTCTTCTGCTTTTTTAGCGCTGGCCCATCGGCAGTGGATGCGACTGTGATTTGCAGGTTACTATATTCATTGCTCCAGAGCTGCTGCACAATCTGCTTCGCTTCTTCAACCCATTCCGGGTGGTGCCGGCCCCAAATCTCGTCAAAATAAGTCCATCGCAGCCCAGGATGCAAAGCAGCGGCAGCGTAGTAGACCGGCGTGTCTCTCAAGGTATTATAGTACTTGTCCAGCTTCATCCAGCCAAGATTGACGTTAATGCCAAAATGCTCCGGCTCGGGATGCGTCTCGATCTGCGACTTTGCGTCTTCCAGCTTGCTCAGAAGGAACTCAAATGCCTCTAGCACGTCAGTCATCGAACCGAAGGTCTCTCGTATGCCGGAGGCGCGACAACGCGGCTGCCCATCGCCCTGGAGCGCTTGTACAACCACGTGGAAGTCCGAGAGGATCTCGTCAAAAGTCCTGAGCACCGCCCAATCGTTCTCGGTGAGGAAGCTTGACTCCTCAAGACAAGGAGGAAACCTCCGGCCTACCTCTCCTCTCCGGCCATCTCGGAAGATTCTCTTTGCTTTAGCAATGAACTCTTCATAGAAAGGCTGCAGTCGCAACAGCCGCTTGATCATGTAGTATTGGGATAGCCATCTGGTATCGTTGTCAATAACCACGTCGACTGGCCGTTGCTTCCCAACTTCGGCGTCGTCAGCTGCCGCATACGAGTCTTGTTGGATTTGGCGAAGCAACTGCGTCAGAACATCCGACCGATGGACCCAAATGGCAAAGTTGTGAGCTTTGCCGACGGGGCCTCTCCGCATCCACGTGTCGTGCGCTGCCCTTGCCAGTGCTTCGCCCTTCGCGACGGTGTCCTCAAACGCCTCGACATCTTTTCCAAACAGAAGGGACTTGACGACGAGATTGAGAATGTGGCCAACGCATCGAACGCGCCGTCGCACCGGATCGAAGTGCAACTCTTGCGCGATCTCGCGCATCGCCGTGTCGTTGTTCGCTGCATTGTCGAGGGTGAAGTAACCCACTTTGTCCTCGATGCCGAAGGAGCGAATAATGTCAAGGATCTCAGCAGCGATATTCTCGCCGGAGTGTCGTTCCACCAGCTCCGGAATGCCCAGGACAAGCTTTCGGAGTTGGTTGTCCTCATCTCGGAAGACAGCCGTCACGCCGTATAATGCGTGACGGTTTCTGGTCCTCGCGCCATCGAAAGCGATATGTATCTGGCCCGGAGACCTCCTCAATGCATGCTGAACGGCATCGCGATGGCGCTCGAACTGCTGAATAGCCAAGCTCTGGATAGTCTTAGCAGTAACATGCGCATCCTTGATACGCACCGCAGGATTCAGGTATTCGAATATTTGTCGCAGACGTGGATGTTCGACCTGCCTGAATGACTGCTGGCTCTCTACTATCCAGTTCACCACCAGCTTCTGGAACTCGGCTTGATCGAATCGTCGGATTAGGTTGTTCGCCAGGGCCTGGTCGTTAGGCTCCAAACGTTTGAGGCCCATGAGGTCTGTGATCGATGCGAAGGCTTTCCTTCCCTCTTTCGTCTGCAGTGGCGTTCGTCGTCGTCCTGACGGATCCCAGTAGCCGTGAGACTTCCAGAGGTGGTGCTCGGCATTCTGTGTGCCTCTTGATTCGTATGACTGTGGTGATGATGCTTTTTGGCGCACGCACGGCATGCAGATCCATCGCCTGGACGCTTCTGATTGAATCTCAACGCCGTAGTCCCATATCCAAGACACCGTATCCTTGGTTCGTTCGGCTAGTGTGAAGCCCTTCCAGACGCGGAATATGCGCTGCTCCTCATCTGAGGATGGCGTCCAGGATGTCAAAGGAATTTTTCCCGCGTCTAGAAGGGCAAGCCTCGGGAGCAGTAAAGCATCGTGCGGGGTATCATCGCTAGCTGGTGTTTTAGGTTCGATGTTGGTAGTTACTGGCTCGGCCATGTTTCAGCTGCCAGTCGCCTCGTGTTGCAGGTGGCCTAAAATGGCGACGCGTCGCAGGACGCGACAAGGCGCGCCCGCCGTACTGTAGTGGGTGGATAGTGCCGACAACTAGTGTTACGTCGGCCCCAGCGAGCGACTTAGGTTGGCCTCTTACCCTGCAGCAGAGCTTCCGTTTCTCGCGATGCTGGACGACTGGTCAATCCATCCATATCGTCCATCAAAATGCGCAGCACCGTGGATTGGTTGATTATGTAACAATTCAAGTCGTGGGTTGACGTTGACGCGTGTTGAGGTCAATATATTGGTCAACCAGTGGATTTCGTGGATTGATTCCTCACCCTGGTCATACTCATCGGGCGGTTGCAACTTGTCTCGTAGCTCGGGCGTAGTAGTTGTTATCGGAAGTTTCTGATAATGCTCCTTCCAGTACTTCTTCACGCCGTCAAGAACCGGTTTGTGCCATGACTTGGGCCAGTTTTTCTCAACATGGGCCATCCGCCGTGATGGGTGAAGCAACATAGCCGCGCCATAGGCAGGGGTCTCGTCCGTGAGCTGGTAGTACTTGTCGAACACGGCCCAAGAGGCAGCGATACAGCTGCGCAGTGGGGTGTTGCCTTGATACTTTTGGAAAGCCTGTGTGTAGTGTCTGTGCAGAACATCCATCGTGAAAAGCGTGCGGTCAATGGTGGCGTAGCGACCCTCTGTGAGTTGCGTTATCTTCCAGAATGGCTGAAGAAAAGCACGCGTCTCCCTCAGGGTTCCCCACTCATTAGATGTGAGATAATCATCCTGGAGATCCTCATAATATTTTCTTTGGTACCACTCCACGTGCTCCTGCAGGTTGAGGGAAACATCAAGAAGCAAGAACCATGAATTCCAGCGCGTATCATTATCTAGGCCTAGCGATCTGCCAGTCCGCTTCTTGAATTGAGTCCACCGGTAATCGCTATCGCGCATGTGAACAGAGATGTTGTGCACCTTGCTAAGAGGTCCTAGTCGACGCCAACCCTGTGCCCTCTGAGTCTTTACTCGGGTAGCAAAGTCAGTACCAAACGCAGTTTCGTCATCACTCTCAATCTGTTCCAGGGCGGCCCGTGCAGCTTCCTTTGAGTCCATGAAAAGGAAGGCTTGGACGGCAAGGTTGATGACGTGGCCATGACATCGGATCCTCTGCTGTGTTGGCTCCCAGCGAATGCCCTTCGCCTGACCACTGACCACTTAAGTGCATTACGTGTATGTTAACCTATCACTAATGCGCCGACGAACTGTACTAGAGTTCGTTGAAAAATTGTATAGCCCCACAAAACAGCAGGGGGTAGAGTTCGTTGAAGCGAAATAGGCCGCGCAGCCAGGTAAAATGGGCATGACGTATATCGTTGAAAAGAGAAATTCGAGACGATGGCAGTTTCCAAAGTATGAGTTTATTGCAAAAGATGCGACGTTGTTACGGCGTTGCGAAGTTTGCGTGGTTGGGTTGAAACGGGCCCAACCCGCCCAACCCGCCGCCCGCCACGGCCCGTTGCGTGTGTCAGGGTTAGGGAAAAGCGGTTAAGAGGGTTAGTATATATTGCCAAGATGCGCCCACGAAGGGGGGGGGGGGTAAGACGGTCGCCGGTGTAACGTAGGTTCGTTAGAAGCAATGGAGCCGTTTATATATGATAACTCGTACCCATTCGTGTTTTGTCAAGGATGCCGATGGGCGTGTATAACCAAGGAAGTTAGCAGTGCCACTAGCACGCGGAAGTTCTTGTCAGCAAACGCTTGGGTGCCAATGCCAGGCGCGTTCAAGCTGACCTCCAAGGATTTTGTTTTCCGCCTCCGACAAGCTGGTTATCTTCTGCTTCCATACGGTATGTCCTGCTGTTTGTATGATCGACGTACATTTCGACAGCCTCCATGGCTTTTCATTCTTTCCAAACCGGACACCGCATAGGCCGAGGCCGACTTGGGCAGTAAGAGACGCTGTATGTATATAAGTCCTGAAAGCGATGGACAGAATTCTCTTCGCAGTTTGAATTGTTGCTCGCTTCGGAACCGGGGCTGGTCCTAGTCGGCTTCGCCGACTACACCAATATAGTAAGCATTGGCTCCTCCACGTCCCAGGCTCTTCGCCGACTGTCAGCCGCAGGGGACATATGCTCACAGTGGTCCGAGATTTTCCACCTGGACTTCGCGCCAGCCAAATGCGAGCTTATGCACTTCTCTCGCAAGCGCACCACGCCTCCAGAGGGGCTCCGGCTTAGCTTCACCTTGGTTAAGCTGCAGTCGGAAGCGCGCTTCCTCGGAGTCTGGATAGACAGGAAACTACAAATCCAACCGTAGTAGAGTTTCATTTGTCTGTGGTTGTAGGACGACTCTCTTACAGGTCGCCAAGGAGGCTGTTCTATTATCCCGGACTTGAAGAACAAAATGAAGGATCAATCCCACCTACCGGGATTGCCATTCCAAAACTCAGCCGTGCATAGCTTAAGCATAATCGGGGCGTCGGCTGAAAGGTTTAGTACTTCTTGCCAGTAAAGTAACACGAGCCTACTTCAGATGGGCACGACGTCGAGATACAACTGCTGTTTGTTCCTTGGAGGCTCGAACTCTACTAGTCTGTACTTGCTTACTGCGTCAAGGTGTTGCCATTAATATCCCACCTGAAGAACATGGCCATAGTTTAATAAGAGTGCATGACAAACACATGAAGGGGCAAAGCATAGATGTAAATTTAAAGTATTCTGATCGCGAATTACTACAAAGCGAGCTGATTCATTGGCATGTCAAAACAGCGCAACCTCCCAGTGCCTCTCATACGCGAGTTGATCTGCTGTCGTCTCAACATCGCCTCTCTTCCTCCTGATGCCAATTTCTTTGGCCACATCTTCTATATGGCTTAGATTCATACTTCTGAGAGCACCTTTCAGGTGTTGGAACCACCTCGTGGTAATGCAACCCGCCTCTTGCTCAAACGACTTGGATTTTGAGCTGAACACATACATAGAAACGACGAACAGAGGGTAATCGACTGCATACATTATAAATGATTCTCGACTATAATCGGTGACTCCGACCAGTGCCGTGTAGATGGCTTCCAGAGCACTCAATGCACGCGACAGCACAATGCCATCCATAGGAGGTGGTCCGCAAACAACGGTCTTTAAGCCGTCCCGAAGAGGTGAAGCGAGAGGAAGAATAGCCGCGCCAATTCGGGGTCCGGCACACGTGTGACGTCTTCGTTGCCTAATGTCCAAGATCCCAGCAAACCTAAAGGCTTCCCATAGCTGACACTGAAGTGGCGAGCCCGAAAAGCCGGGCCAGTGCCACATTTTTTGTTCAAATTCAGGATCAGAGTCTGCCGCGAAGATATATAGCAGGGTTTTGGGTAACCCACTAACTGACTCAATCATATCTTGTTGATCCTTGGGAGGAGGGAAAGCTTCAAACTGGCCAGAGCGGTAGCGACGCCAGACTTGTTGACTCGGGAGTCGTCGACCAAGAACAAATATAGGCATGTCAAGAAGCCCTATCGTTTCAATGACGGGTATAAAGTCTGGCGATTGAACTGAGTGCTGAAACATGGACGATGGAGTTGTTGCTAGTCGGATGATGCCATAAAGGTGAACAGTCCACGTGGAACCTTGCAGTATCTATGCCAACCCCTCGTAATTAGGCAAGTCCAAAGGTCAACCCCCATGATAGAACATAAACATACCTCGACGGTACAAAGGATTATGCCAGCAAGTACGACGCCCACGCCAATTTTTGTGTTCTGGCTACTCAATTCGTTTCGAAAGGCGGCGAGGGCTCGTTGATAACGTCCGAGGAAACAGCTAGGGGATGCCTCATCGAGAAAGGTCTGAAGGGTAATGCATATCCTTACCAGTGCTACCGACGAGTGGTAGGACTGCTGAACCAACGAACTCAAGGAATTATGCTGGGGCAGGACGCCAGAGAAGCGCTCATGGCCGTATGCTAACCCTGAGAAGGGTACGTCAGTCGACAGTGAACAAGCTTCACCAAAGCCACAATGCTACTAACATTCGTCAAATGTCTTCTGCTCAAGGCAATCGCCGAGAGCACGGTCCAATATTCGAAGACGAGACGAGGCAGTGAAGATGCCCTCCGTTGCGTCGAAGTTTTCAGACCCGGCAATATCGTTGTCTGGCACCTGTCATGAGAGCTATCAGTTGCCAAAACAAGGTCTGACTAGCTCTTGACTTACTGATTGTGGACAACCACTCAAGCTCGATGTATCGAATGGATTACTGTAGTCAGACTTATCTGGACCGGACCGAGCCACTTGGTCCAGCACAGATATGGCAAATTTCGGTCGGCCGTAACTTGAGGGATTTGTTGCGCGCCAACGAAGCTTCCTTTCGTAACCTTGGCAAACTAGGTTTCGGGCAGTACAGTTGCGGCAAGCTGGATGCTCTTCATCACACTTTCGATGCTTTTGTCGGCAGTTGTGGCAACCATTCTTGGAGCGCATCGCATGACCACATCAGTTCCTAGCGAAATTCGAGCCCTCGATATGCCACGAATCGAATTACTGAATCAGGTATGGATATGAACCGGCATGGGTGAGAAAATTGGTCCAAATAGGGATATCTTTGCCCTGCAACAAGCAGCGCTGCCCTCAAATCAAATCACATCAAACAAACTGCCAAACAAA